ACTCGCGTACAGAAGACTGCATTCCATCCTGTCAAAGATTTGATTTTTTGGATAACTACAAAGTTCATTAAAAAAACCGATCAAATAGATTCAATCGATCAAAGTAAAAACCCAATTGTAAACAAATCCCCGTCTACTTTAGCCAGTACTAGCTATCGTTGGGTTCCTCTAGAGACCAGAGATATAACAACGAAAAAAAGTTCTATGTTTTTTGAGCTCAAAATACTCCCTTTCTCGTGGCTCGGATTTTTCGATTCAAAAATCTTGGCGTTACTCACTAAATGAGACCTAGTTCTGAAGAAATTAATAAAAAACTATAGAAAAAGACCTGAAACAAGACCTTCTACAAATGGGAAACTATTTTGAACCTAATATTAATAACGTAGATGTGAACGTGGGTGCCTATATTTGGACGGAAGACTCATGATACCGGCATGCTTGAGGACCATCATGTTACATAGACTCTATGAAGCACACCGTGGCCAATTTTCAATAAAGAGCCTAGCAACCTTTTACATCTGGTAGCCAAAATTTATCCCGAAACCCAAGTCCACGGAGAAAATTGTATCGAGTGTATTAAAGCAGTTAAAAATTTGAAACCTCCAACAAAACATGAAGACCTCGGTAAGCTCCCATCGGTCGTAGAACCAAATCAAGAATTGGAACTACATTTTGCAGGCCCGCTACCTTTAACTTCGGGTACAAAGAAATTTTTACTCGTTTGCGTATTTCGATCTAAAAATTTCCCCCAACTCAAATAACATCTAGCACTTCTGCAAAGTCCGGCATTACCTTCCTTTGAAAAGACATAGCCCTTCATGAAATACCTACAACTGTTAGAACGGAGCAAGGGTCGAGATTTATTTCTAAAGAAGTCCGAGAATTTTGCCGAAAGAACAAATCATAAAATTTATATTTAGCCCAGTTGGCGACGATAGAGCTACAGGTCTAGTTGAACGATTGATTAGACCAATTAGAGAACGACTTATGATCATGGCACAACAACAAAAACCAAAACCTTCTTAGAAATAGCTCTACTAAAAATCATAAAATGCTTAAGGACTGTAACTCAACAATCGCTAAACTGTTCTCCTTTTGAAGCCCATTTCGGTAGATCACCAAATACTATTTGGCACAGTCTCGTAAAACTTCCAACTTCAAAAAACTTGGATTGGAATAAATAGCTACTATGCATAGATAACGGAAGAAAACTCATGTGCCGAACAAACTACATGACTGGGATGCGTCGGAAGATATAGAGGATGAACACCTGGACGACGATTCCTCCTCGTCAGATGATATAGTCATTGCCACTAGATATGTCCCAACTAGCACGGGCTCCCTAGTGAAAGTCTTCTCACGCTCTCACCCACAGAGAAGCAAAAAAACTCTAGGTGTAGCCAATCCCATACTTAATATCCTATCGGGTACGACACTTATCTATCGATAAGTTCATGATAGAAAAAAATGAACCTCATTATAAGGAGCTTAAAGAAGAAATAGTGAGGGAATCGGACAATACAATAACTCTTCAGAACGGTAAAATAATTTGCAAATCAGATTTAGTCTTGAAAAGATCTACAGAACCGCCCGAGAACAGCCCGAAAAGAACCGCCCGAAAAGATCTAAGAAGGCGAGCCCGAGAAAGAAACACCAATTGATGAAGTTATACGCCACAAAATGACCTAGGAAAGTGATCAAGCATGCCAGAAAACTTGGATTCAAAAGTTCAAAAGCAATCCAGAACAAAAAAAATCTCGATACCCAAATTCAACAACTCGAGGTAATTCTTCTTATAGGAGGAAGAAGAGAGGAAGGGACTAAGAATTCCCAATAACCCAGAGGGCGACATAGAACAGTTTCCGTTGGGCCAAGCCAGTCAATCACAAACATACGACAATAAGGAAATAACACCTCAAATATGTCGAAGGAAACAATATCTGAAGACGACGCTAGCAACTTCAACTTGTTAAAAGACCTCAAGCTACTCATTAGGACCGTACAGTTCAATGTCCAGTGAATATTAAAAAGGAAGTTTCACGGAAAGAAGGGTTAGATACAGTGAAAGATCAGGCCCTATCACAAGACTTAGCTAAGCTGAAATCGACCACCATCAACTCCCCCCAACCCACAAATCAGCAGTCTTTCAATTTGATAGTCAAAAGGAAAACAAAAGATAAATAGAAACTTGGAACAAGGACGAGAAGACTCAACCGCAAATCCCGATATCAAAACCGAATACGAAGGCACTTACGAATCCAGTTAAAACGGAAGTCGGGATTCAGAGAATAGACCCCATCCCGAACCAGGCTCTTCACGGACAAGACCCACCGGAATGGCCAAGAGGAAAGCATATTTGCCAATGAAGTCGCCGCCTCTAAGAAAATTGTCGGACTCTCACGTTAGGCAAAATACTAGGCCTATTCGATCCAAACAGCCTCCATCCTTACTGGGAGTACGGGTGATCACAAGCCTTGTAGAAGTTTCAGACGACAGAACGGGCTACACTTCTCGACGTGACCAAGGACCCATCTCACCTCATCACTAGAAGCGGTTATTATAAAGATAGAAAACCCGCCAGTAACCGTTGTAGATTTAAATACACCAAATTCCTCCTCACTAAGACACTGGACCCTTGATATTTCTAGAAGATGCGGATCAGAACTAGAAGGTAAAATGAGGTCTTCTTCCATTATTTCCCAGCTCATCTTCCAAGAATGTGAAATTCAATCCGGAAGTCCGGGAGAGCGAATATGACCCGTCGCTCATACTCATTGAACCGTTGACCGTCATTGAAACACCCTTAGCTGACAACTCTATTATCGAGGCTATGGATTTTTTAGGCCGCCCATTGAAATTAAAAGAGCTCCGAAAATGGACAGAATCCAGAGCAATGAATCGAGATACCTCCTAAATTCTCCAGAATACAAACTTTACATCTAGCGAAAGAACTCATTATACTCTCAAGAAACTTTCCTTTTTACTTTCGACTGGTGTTGTAACCGGGATTAAGCATCTGGATTTATAATTTGACGCTTAATTTTGATTATTTTTTCACTGAGGTTGAGTGCAATGTTTGGTAGTTAAAATTAATTCAATCCCCTTTGTTAGTTCAACAAAACTCTTTAGCCTGGTACTCCGTTTTTGTGGACCTTGATTCTTTTTCAGTGCTTTTTTTGCCCATAGGGCGCCATCCTTGTGTGTAGAAGTTTTCTTTTCTTTTGTCTTCTTGTTATCCTGCCCTTCGGGCGCCATTCTCGGTTGAAAATTAAATGATAATTTCTTATATTATGATAGCTTTTGACAGCAAATGATATCGTTTTACAGCAAATTTTTCGAGAGGAATTTCAAAAGTGGCCTTTTAACCTCTATGATGTTTACGTTCTAGTTTTGAATTAGATAAAAACCTGCCAAAAGGCACGTCGGCTTTTGGCACAATTGATCTTTAGTCAGTGATATTTTTATGCAACCAATTCTCATTTGAACTTTTTAAATGATTTTATCTTTTATATAGCTTAGTTATCTTTACTAACGTCTTTTAATCTAGACTTAGTTTAAAAGTCTACTAGTAAATTTATTGGAAAACTCGCATCTTTATACGTCTCAATGTAGTTGTAGCTTAAGTACACCAATATTGCCATCGTCCAATACCCTTTTTAATTGGATCAACGTAATTTTTCAACACTATAGTGGATCAAAAACAAAAAGAGTTTTGTTAGAAAACACGATTGAGTGCGCCAAAAAACTCTAATAGTGGAATCGGTTGAAACGACAAATGCTGACATGTCCGGTCATACGCATCGACACTTCGACACGGTCATACACTTTCGGTTTTTACTCATCGACACTCAAACTGCCATCCTTCCGAACTTGAGGACCTCTCACTTCCATTGGGAAACAATGGAGAAGATAATGTTGATATAGCTTCAATAACAGAAAGCCAAACGCCGAAATGAGCACAAAAACAGAATTCTCCATCAAAACTTTCAAGCTCAAGCTCTCTTAGTTTCGATTTTTTAAACCTTTTGAGCATATGTTTTTTATACAAAAATGAAAAAAAAAATAGAATCTTTTACCGTTTGTACTTTCTAATTTCATCAATCCATCGGAGCCGTCAATTTTACAATTTTTTTGCAGTTTAGAATCCCTCCGTTAAATTAGAATCTGATTTTATTTACCTTCAACAAAAAATTTGTGATTACTTTTTATCAATTCAAGATAATCCTGCTTTCTTGCTCAGTTATCCGTGGAAAAACGTCCATGTGTTAAATTATTTTGTATAACAAACTGTTTTTTCTCCTAGTAAAAAAGTGTTGTAATTGCTCATTTACTTTAGTTATTTTGCTTAGTACTGTCGGACCTTGACATTTTTCACTCCGTTAGATTACTTTGAACCATTTTTGTTTCTTATAATTCGAGTTTCTTATAAATCGAGTTCTTAATATATTCTTAATCTATTTCTTAGCCTTTTAACTTAAGTTAAGTCACTATTTTAGAGATATACTTTTTTTAGCACTTTAATAAAATCCTATTGAAGCTACTTTTTAAAACGGAAAGGTCTTGATAATCAACTCGCGCGTATAGATCCGGATTATTGGCCTATTCAATTTTTTTCAACACGAATGATCATATCAACAAAAATATTTTGATGCTACCATTTCATTTATGCTACCACCGTTGCCAACACTTCATTCAAAAACGTTTTTTAAACTCAGAAAAGGATTTTTTTCTAAAATAGTGCACGGGTCTTATACAATTCTGAAATTAAAGTGTTTCCAATTTTCTGGATCTCGAGTACCTCAAAAAATGAACATTCCTTGCGCGGTAGAGATTATTTAATTCGCAAAATTTTTTGAACTGATGCCAAGTACAGGCAACTGAAATTGTAATTTTTGTTTCGTAATTATGCGGTTAACAAAGCAACAATGTATTTTCGAGCAAGCAAGAGTAAAAACTACGATAAAAATAGTTTCGGTGATTCAATGAAGTTAGTGTTTTAGAGTAATGAAGAGATAGAACAGGATGCGATTCCGATTGCACTGGGGGCCATAGGGACATACATCGTGGCCCATGTGTTCCTGTCCGTCTATGAGATGATAGTGGACACCCTGTTCCTCTGCTTCTGCGAAGACTCCGAGAGGAATGACGGATCCCCCGGCAAGGAATACTACATGAGCGAGAACCTCAAGGTCGGTCACAGATCACCACACTATTTTGATTAGTACGAAATAGAAAGCCTCTCCAAAAAGTCAATTTATATTGAAGCCTCATAATACGCAATTCGAAATCGGAACTCCTGACGAAGATCCGCCTGTCTTAACCACTTAGACATTTATGTTCGGTATATAATTCCACATATTTTTTTCTCGTTCACTGGCAGTTTTCGTGAGTTCTGTTTAAAAAATCTTATTGGTCGACCTGAAAATTTTCCACTATTTTTTTTTATTATGAAAACATTTTCCCTACGCAAAAGGCCTATGGCGGGCGTTTTTGCCTCTTCTAACGTCAATTGATGAGCGTAAAAGACCCCAATCGTCAAAGATAACAAATAAAAAAGGGCTTTATGCTACCACCTTTTGTAAGCCTTGAAAAAACCAATTCTGCTAAAACATTCTAGGCATCTGGTTTTTGAGAAAAATGGCCATTTAGATAACTTTTCAAAAGCTTTTGAACATAAAGGAAAATGAAAATTATTTTTACGCACAGTGTTTACTCGAAATCATTCTATACTGGGGCTAGAGGTGAAGCTGCACTTCATAAGATATTCAAAAAAAGCGGAAAAAGAAGTGAAAAGTCGGAGAAACCAAAAATCAACGTTAGAACAATGCCTCATCATACGGAATTCGAAATCGGAACTTTAGAGGAAGTTGCATCTGTCTTAACAACCTAGCCAGCATACAAATTGAGCAGCATTGGTATCAACATAGCGGGTAAAGCTATATTATATGCTGCGTAGTTAACCCAAAAGTTATACCATAAAAAAAGTTTTTTTTTTCATTTTTTCCGACTATTTTCGAAGAAAACGACAGAATATTTGTTCTCAGGGTGGTTTTTTCTCCAGATAAATTTCGACTTTTTCTAGCATTTTTGGCGGAACTTTTTATACCATTCCAAAAGTATAATTAACCTGAGCTCAAGTTTAAAAAGATGTTTCACCTGTGTTAATTTCGTTGTGATGGTTTAAAAATTGCACAAGCAAACACAATTTTTTTGAAGCAATCCCTATTCAGTAGACATTGAAAGGCAGTCGGAACACTCGGAGATTTTCTCTGATACGAGCAGACTTGTTCTCTTTTACTCGTTCAATAAATAGGAAACAAATCCGATTTTAGATCATTTTGATCAACTTACAAAATTATTATCACGCAGTTAATATACAAAATCTTGAAACCATGGCTTGTTTACTTGTTGATTCAATATCAGATTGACCAGAGAAAAATGGCTCACATAGCGGTAAAGCTAAATCATATGCTGTGTACTTAACGCAAAAAGTTTACCATAAATGAATTTGTTTTCATTTTTCGTTTAATTGCTCATTAAAAAGGAAATTAATCCGATTTAGACAATTCTGATCAGTTTGAAAAGTAACTATCACGCAGTTACTCCAGAACAACTTGTAGCCCTGATTTAACTATAGGTTGATACCGTATTAGATTTAACAAGAGAAAAATGGTTAGGGGCAGGGGCGGATTTAGGGGGGAAGGCAAGGGCGGACGCCACCCCTTCCCCCCCCCCCCCCCCACTCAGGGATTGGACCCCCTGCCGACCCAAAGGGTCCCCCCTTTGGTACTTTTAAGAAATCCAGTTTTGGCCGACCAACCCAACCAAAAATTTTTCTAAAGGCGCCTTTGGCGCCAATATATACTAAATTTAAGGGGGGAGCGCGCGCCGAAAAAACGCGATTTTTTGGTCAAAGTTTTCCAAAAAGTGACTAAAAATGCCTTTTTTGGACTGTTTTTTCAAAATTTTGCCTGCGGCCCAGAAAATTTGGCCAAAATAGGGACTAAACAGGCTTAGGAAGAGCTCGAAAAATCGAAAAAGCAACTCGGTCGAGCTATAAAAAAACAAGGTCGACAAAAATTTCGAAAATCCCACTCGAGAAAAATCCTAGATCCGCCCCTGGTTAAGGGTTTATAAAAAACAGAAAAATTGTTGTTGCGACCATGTCACAAATCGACTGGAAGGAATTCACGCCGGCTGTTTTTTTTTTCAAGCCAATCTAATTAGGTCAAAGAAAGCTGTTGGTTATAATGAGTTCATTCAAGTCCTATTGGTTGTGATTCCAATCCTTCTGAAAAAAAATAGCAAAACATTTGCGATGCATTAAGTTTATTATATAAAGAGTGAAACCAAAACAATTCTCGCCTACCAAAATGATCAAAAAATTTACAATTCAGCAAACAATTATACGAAATTCTCCCAATGTTCAGCACATTCAACGAAAAGCGAAGATTAATATGCATAAGCAGATTAACAAAAATATCAAATAGAAATTTAATAATGAAAAATGAAAAAATCAATAACTTGTTTTCGAAATTTTTGCAATAATTTTATCAATTAAAAAGAATCTGAAAAGACACTAAAACACTTCCGAAAAAAAATTTGTTTTCCTGGTCATAAAACGAAAGGTTGCCAAATTTATCTTCTTTTCGTTTGAAATAAACGAGAAAAAATGTTTCATTGTTAGTCGTCAATGCAAATCGTTTATGAGTTTCAGGAGTTCGTGGATACGACTAACGAAGCCCTTCTGCGGCAGAAAGAAAAGAAGGAGGAAAAAAGAAAACTAGTGGAAAGTAGCGAGGAAAAATAAACTCAGACAATCGAAAATGTATCAGCAATCATGAGACGGATGAAAACCACTTACTTGAGAATAACATTCAAGAATTCTACTTCGAAATTGGTCCAAATCTGCATATGCTTTACTTATTCAACATATTGATGAGCTGACTGATAGCAATACATGGTAGAGGTTAGATAGATTCATGCACACCCTGGGAAGGTCTCGATTTCCAAAATTTACTTAAATTTGAAATAATTTGTCCAATTTTCAGATTGCTTATCTTCGAAGGATGTTGTAGATATACGAGCTCTCCTAAATAATTTGTTAAGCTTTTTTTCCAGAAACTTTCTTTCGGGCACATCGATTGCTCTGCAGTTGTTTTCATTGTATGGTTAGAATTAAACAAGAGCTTTTGAAGGACAACTTATCATAACTGAAACCAGTTCAAAACAAGTATTTATTATATCCTATTAAATTCTTGATTAACTATCTCTCTAAAGTACTTGGAACTAACCAATTATTATCCATAACTAACACTTACAAAAATTTGTAAGGCTGAACCTATTTATAGTTTCAGCCAGAGGAGAAAAAATTTAACTAAAAAATATATATCATTTAGATGCAAAATAAAGGAACTGTAAGATTTTAAAGTTTTTTTCTTTAAATCTATTATTAATTTTTTCTGTTTAAATGTTACTTAGATTAAACAATCAGGTCCATATAAGACAATACTTAATAGAAAGTTCTCAGCGGCGCTTCAACAGGTTGAATTACCTACTGCGCTTGCTCAAGTTGGTGCTCAATCAATGATAAGTTCTCTAAATTGTTGGATTTGTGCACTACTTGAAACAAATTTATTGTGATTATTATATAACTTAGCAAACAGTTGCTCTTCTCCAGAACAGTTCCTGATATCTAACTCGCAATTACCAGTATACACTAGATCTGTTGAGACTAGGAGATATAAGAGTAAGATTAAGATTGGTATTAGACAAAGAAGTTGCACGAATCTATCCGGCCGAAAATAAAATAGCGTGACGAACAGACGGTGTACCTTATCTATTATTACTCTATGAGTGAGTCACCCCGGACTTAAACTCATAACTCAGTGTCAGACAAATGATGTCAACTTTCATAGAAAATGATGTAAGTAAATTCAGGTACTTGGTTTTTACTTGAAAGCTAACATAGCTGAGAATTTTTGACGGTCGGATGTTTTGTCCGGAAAAGGCTTACAATTTTTTTTCAGCTATTCTATTTTTCTTAACTCATTTTTCACTTTCTGGGGAAATTTTTTTTGAACATCTTTGTGAAGAGACAATATTTGGATTTTTTTTGCGGCAGTTTTCAATCAAATCGAAAGTATTTTTCGGCCAAGAGCTTGGTTAAAACCATTTAGTGGTCGGTCCGCAAAAAAAAATATGTCATATGTAGTAAAAGTGTACCAACATGGCTCAGAGGAAAAAATTGGTGACCGGAAATTTTTATGACAAAAATGTGTTTTTAAGTAGCTTTATTGGTGTTTTAATTGTTAATCAAATAGTTGCGCTGAATATATCGAAAGCGAATCAAAATAGCTACACAGAGGCGAAATGACACATCAAACACAGAGGAACAGTAAGGATTTCGCAAACACAAGCGAGAAAACGGCAAAAACTAGCTATAACAAGGGTCAAAAATGAGAAAAACTTAACCCCCAATCTCAGATTTGGCACTATGAATTTCTAGAGAATCAAAAAACTTTCAAAAACGAATAAAGCTCCAAAAAACTGATTTTTGATAAGTCTAACACAGTTTTTAGTAGAAAATAAGCGTAGCCGCAATGTAGAGAACTTTTTAGCGCATGTTATTTTGATTGAGCTCTTAATCTTAGCTTTGTTAGGGTAGTTCTTGATAGATGCCAATTAACTTTTAAAACCACTTATGCAGAAATGCTTCACAGAATTTGTCCTTTCGGTTGAGCCCTCAACCTCCAAAATAGTTTTCAAGACAAATTTAAAGTAGCTTTTTGAAATTAAGTCCGGGGTGGTTTTCTCATAAAGTAATTTCGGATAAAGTACACCGTCTGGTCCTCACGCTATCTTATTTTCGGCCGGATAGGTTCGTGCAACTTCTTAGTCTAATACCAATCCTAATCTTACTCTTATATATCATAGTCTCAATAGATCTAGTGTATACTGGCATTGCTGCGACGTTAAGAATCAAGAAGTAGAACTTAGAAAGAGCAACTGTTTGCTAAATTATATTTATTTTTCTCTGGCGGAAACTATAAATAGTTTCAGCCTTACAATTTATTGTAAGTGTTAGTTATGGAATATGATTGGTTCGTTCTAAATATTTTACAGAGGTAGTTTATCAAGAACATAATTGGATATAATAAATACCTCTTTTGAGCTGGTTCCACGTTATACTAGGAGACTTTTCAATACCGGTGTACGATTGAAAACTTTCTGATTTGGTAGGATAGTTTGCGAGAAAAAGTATAAACACAAAAACCGCTCCATATTTTAACAAATGGACATATGTTAATATCAGAATTCTTTTTCTTTAATAAAAAGGGAAAATCAGCTTACGCAGGAAAGATTCCCAGAACTTATTCTTCTGAGCTAATGCTAATTTTTAGATTTGGCTGAGAAAAAAAAACAAAAGTCAACTATCGAAATTTTCCCCAACCACGAGCAAAGTAAAAACAGACTAGCCAAAATTCAGGCACACAACAGTCGATTAGCTAGTCTTTCTAATAATACCACTTCTTTGACAATCACTAACGTAATTCTCAAGAGAAACTTAAATTTTTTGTAAAAAGTGCATTAACTTTCCGAAGTGCACCAAAATCATCATTTTTGTTTTCATATTAATTGTTTTCATCAAACAAGTACTAGCCACCAATAACAAAAAAAAACAAAAAGAAATAATCCTATGTACACAGATAAGCCAAACAAAATGCTGCAAAAGTACACCCGAATAAGTCAGTACTTTTAATTGCGAGTCAATATCAATTTACCAAATGCCATTCTACCCTACGCAATTCTACCCTAATCAGATGTAATTGAAATTTATCTGATCAATTTTGAAAATGGAAAAATTATTATTACTAAAAATATCTTAAACTATTAATTTGGATAAGGAAAAAACTAAAAACTAAAGCAACGTAAAGTTTGCATGTTCGAAATATATTTCAGTTCAAAAGCATGAACAAACAAAACTTCTAATCTTTTTGTATCTTCAGGAATGCATTGCAGCTATTTTCAAACGTCATCTACCACAGTGGACAATGCATGTTCAAAAAACCAACTCACCGTGAACTCAAATATTTTGTTTGATATTTAAAAAAATTTTGTGAGTTAATTGATGGAAGGGCTGAGCGGTGCGAGGTAAAACGGAAAACGGCGAAAATTAAGATTTTGGCTTGTCATCTTCCAAAAAAACCAGCCTTTAGCGTGCCGTGAACCTCGAAAATGATGAAATTGAATGAAACTGATAAAAAAAATTGAGTAAAAAATTCAACATAAGCAAAATTAAGGGAAATTAAACTTAGTTCGTTGTTGCGTGATTAGGTATATTTGCTTCAATCTCAAAGCAATTTTTTCCAGTCAAGAGGCTCGCTCAATTGAAAATAACAGCCTTTAAGTGACGCACTAGCTTAATAGTTAGCAAATGCGGTCAAGGCAGCTCTTTCAAAATCGAAGAGAAAAAGATCAGACAATGAGCTATCCGTGACTGCTGATAACTAATTTAAACTGAGTGGTGTACAACTGACAAAAAATGCATCGGGCAAAGTATGAAAAATACCATTGCCAAATCAGAAGTGTTGGTGCACTTATGGAGCGCCGATAATTTCTCGGTCATCGAATATCGACACTAAAAGTCAAAAAATCTTGTGCTGCTTGCGGCGGGGATTTCGAAATGATTGGCAATAATGGATGGCGCGGTTAATTGTTTCATTACTTATGTCAATTGCCGGCTCTGATAAATGCAGGTAAGCATAAAAATTCCAATCAGAAAACTTTTTCTTCCGTGACGGACTGTAAACATATTGCTATGATGTTGCTGTTGACAGGTCTTTGTTGCACTGTCAAGCATTTGTTTTTTTTTGTTAAGCAACCTTGCGTCCGAACATCGCGAAATTTTTCGTAAATAATCTCGTTCGTTTCAGATACTAGACTGTCCTTATCATTAGAATTAAATAAGGTTAATCTTACTTCTTATTTGTTTCTGTGAACTCATTACCACCAAACACAAAAGCTTTGCGGCTTTGTTGAGATATCTTAGTATTTTAGTAAATGCTAATATTTTACCATCATGAGTTTTGTATCTTTGTTGAATTTGAGTTGCATCCTTTACATTTTGGGCTACATGTACAGCTTTTCTGGCCTCTTGCTTAAATCTATCCTTTAAGTTTTTTCCGGTGTTTTCTAAGTTCTTTTTATCTAAAACGGTAGATAGTTTTATGTTATCCCAAATTAACTCTTTTGGTTACTAGTGGTGGCTAAATCTGATGATATTGTGTTGGGCCTTTGTGACATATGCATTTAAAATGGTCGGAAATTGTACCCGTGAGCGGTGTTATTCTCAAGACTTTGATGAGTTCGCTAGGTCTCCTGCTAGCTTGGTGTGTTTTTCTGGTCGATCCTCATTACCCTTAACCTAGTTTTAAGTGTTTGGACGAAGCGTTCTACTAATTCTAACGCCTTGTGATCATCAATTGGTGCAAAGAGCAATTTTACTTTATTGTCTTTGCAATACCGTTGGAACTTTTTGACCTGAATGTTTGCGCCTGGTCACATCTAAGTTTCCAGGGAACTCTGTGAGTCTTCATGTCTCTTTGCACAAATTTGATGGCTGTGTCTGCTGTAGTATTTGTAACTAATTTGGTGGTTGACTGTTTCAAAAACCTATCTATTGCTACCAATATGTAAGCACCTATGCTAAGCTCATCCGGCATAGGTCCGCAGAAATCCGACTGGATTTTGTCGTTGGGCTCAACGACTTTATCTAACTCCGAACAGTGTTGTTATCTTATAACTGCTTTATGATTTTACCTTGCTCTCTGCGTTTTTTGCAATTTTGTCTCACTGCCACTATTTCCCGGTGGATGTGAGGAAACCAGATGTCATCGGTTTTGTCAAGCATTGCCTCTGTCCCTGAATGTGTCAGGAGGACGCTTTCTCACACGGAAACTCGCAACGCCGTTGGTATTGTCACCCGGTCATCCATGATAAAGCACTCGTCGCGGAGGCTCAGCCGGTGTCGTAAATTGTAGAAATACTGGCCGTCTGACCATTTGATAGATTTTTAGTTCTGTTAAATTACAAAATGCATCAAGGGCCGCAAGTTTTGATTCTTTCGGCTTGCTACTGTATTAAATCTGCATCCTAGGACCTTATTTAGTTATTGGCGGCATAGTGATGTGTCGTCCTCAGCTGTAAATGTCCAATGTAATCTTTGGCCGGCGGCACTATTTCATTGTCTATAGACAAGGCCAATTGGAGGGTGTGCATTTGGTCCTGGCTTCTGGTTCTGGTGACATTAATTTCGGATTATATCGGAATCAGGTCCAAATTTTCAGTTTGGGTTTCCGTGACTTCTGTGCTGCGGGTTGTTTGGGCACTGTGCTTTTGGAATTTTCGTTCGCTCGGTGATAGAGGTGTTTCTGTTTTTATTACAGTTCGTTGGTTTGCTATCTTCTCTAGGTCTTTGCTACGGCTTTCTCGCTACGGCTTTTTCGCTGCGGCTTTCTCTTTTTTCGGTCAATCAAGCTCTTCAATGCTTGTTTCCTATCGGTCCATTCATTGAACAAGATATTATCCAAAATTTCCAGCTTCGAAAGGAACGCCGCTATCTTAGCAACCGCAATTTCCTCATAGTCATTGTTTGCTGGTAGCGCCGGATCGACTGGTTTTTTATGGTCAGCAACAATTGCTAAAGTGTAAAGATAAAGATATTATTTCGAATACTTTAAGGCCCAAACTAACACTAATAACTCTAATTCGTTCGTTGAGTACTTTTTCTTGTGTGATTTCAAAAATCTTGAAGCATATGATATCGGTACCCATCCTTCAAAAGAAAATTGTCCTAAGGCTGCGCCTAATCTGAATAGAGACGTATCTCACGTAATTCTCGTTTCTACATTTTGATCGAATGTAGTTTCATGATTCGAAAGCCGTTTAAGGTGATATTTTCACAGTTTTTAAGAATTGGTTGCAATGGAGCTGTCTCTGCGTTCAATTTGGGGATATAATTCGTCAGATGATAAATCGAGCCCATGAAGCTTTTTAGTTGTTTGTACGTCTTTGTGGCCTCAAGGTTTTCACTTACTTCCGTTTTGTTAATCATAGGTCTGGCCTCTTCTGCGTTGACTATAAACACCAACCATTCAACTTGCATTTAGGCCACGATATGGCCAAGTTTTTCGTGTCGAATTTGTCTAAGATGGTCCCAAGCGCAGCCTGGTGTTCGGTTGTCTTTCTTTTTGTGACTATGAGGATATCATCTGGAATTGCTAAAGTGTTTTTGCAGTTCGTGACGGTGAGATTGATTGCTTTTTGAAAACCTGCTGGCTTTTCGGTCTGCCCGTAAAATCCAGTTTGAAACTGGTATGTGCCCATGGCTCTACCCGCCACCAGGCTGAAGTTGCATTGCTCTTCGATTTTGCCGTCTAGTGGGATTTGTGTGTATGCATATCTTAGATCTAGCGTTGTAAAGAAAGTGGCACCAGGTCGTGGGGTTTTGAATGCTTGGGCTACGTTGTACAAAAACATTTCTGTGTTTTGCAGTTGATACTTGTTTTTGTGTATGTTGTTGTTAAATTGTATCGAATTGATTGGTTAAATACCAGTTTGACTGGTAAGCCTTTTTGACTGTTATCACAATAACGCTCATACATTATTTGTCACTACACTTTTCAAACATTTTTATGTGATCCTGGTCTATTCCTTTGCTGATCTCCTGTTCCACTCGTTCCTTTTGTTGTGTCGCTGTGAAGTTTTTGACAAATTCAGTTTTTACATTAGTTCTTTTGTGCATATTTTGTGGTTCTTAGGTTTTCTGAGTCTTGTGCATAATACTGTACAGTTGTTTTGAATCCAATTTGCTACTGTATGTTCCGACTCTCCTTTTGAGTCAATTTTTAGGATCACCTGGTGCTGAGGTTTTTCTTGGGGTAGTTTAACCCAAATTTTGGGGAGGATGTTACTGCCTACGATGCTCGCTCAGCGATCATCCATTATTTTGAATGGTGCTAGTCATTTTACCTATCCTCCCGATTCGATTAGTATTATCAGTCTATATAATGGTTCGATATACACTCGGTGGTAACACGCGAGATTATGTGTCGCATCCTCTGTGGGAATATGTTTCAAGATAGCACCTTTCACAGTTTGTTTTAGTTTCGCTGCCAAGTGTTCATTTAAGAAGGACACCGGACTGCCCGAATCAGTTATCGCAGTTATCGTCTCCCCGGAAGTTTTCAGTTTCACTAACTTTCCGTTCAAATCTTCTTCGGCAAACCATCCAGCGTTTTTGGCTTCTAATGTTTCTTTGATAGCCAATACTGTATAATTATCTAGTTGTTTGCCGACGTAATTTTGCTCCTGGGGCACGTCCACGACTGTTTGAATTTGATTTTTGACAAAATTGACGTTGACCCATCGGCACACTATTTGGAAACAACATCTTCCACATTTGGAGATTTTTTTCCCTTTCTGGGCAATTTTGCAGATATCTTGCCGAAAAAAATCCACCACATTTGTAGCATTAGTATTTGTCGCTGGCTTGTGTTATTTTGCGATCATCTTTACCCTGGCTGTTCCTCATTTCAATTCCGGAATTTCTTGTTTTGTCCACGGCCCAAACGGTTTTTCCGTTGGTTAATGAATCCAACTGGTTCTTGTTTCATAGTAACTTGGCTTCCCGATGCATTGGAGTGCCCTTGACTTTGGTTTTTTGGCGTTTAATGTTGCTCTGTTTCTTCTCCCGCCTAATGGCGTAGTCGTACGCTTCTTTGGTTGTTTGTCTTTCTGCTAGCAGTTCCTCCGAAATCTTTTCGTTTAGCATTTGTTGTAAACATATCCCTCAACCATTCATTTTCTTTGTCTCCTTAGTCGGCTTTGGATGCCAGATTTATCAATTCTGCATGGAATTGCTCCAAAGATACATTTTTTTTGGATTCTGCAAAAAAAAATTGTATCGTTCGAACGCAATAGTTTTTTTCTGTGACCAATACGTTCTCGAGTTCGTCCCTTAAGTCCTTCGTGAACATTGATTGAATATCGATATTTAGCTTCCTCTTGCTGAATTGTCTTTGAGTTTCATGCCCGAGGCATGAGTAGGTGTAGATTTTGGCTCTAGTGCTAGTGTTCGCCTCATACCACGGTACTGTTCCGCATAACACCCGCTGCTATCCTCTTTTTGGCCTTCGTTCTCCTGTTTGATACGTTTTGCTTGGTTTCAGTGTTCCTTATATCTTTTTGTGTATTATTTCTGTCGTCTATCAGGTCTTCAAATAATAGCTCTCATGGTTTGATTGTGTTTAGGTCGATTTCGCAGTAGTAGTTTCATGTCGATATTGTCTTCAGTGAATATCGCCATTTGTAATCCAACAATCCATTTTACCAACTCTATTGGCGGTTCCGTGGTATGAAAATGCCAGAACGTGGAAAAGTTCAGAGAAATTTTGTGGTCGTGACCTGCTGATTGCACTATGTTATATTTGATTTAGAAGCCGTAGGTTACTCTGGTAACCTCCACCAATTGGAGTAATCTTTCATTTAATATAGTAAGTTCACTCAAGAAGAGAGGTGTCTCAAAGTCGATTGTTTCACTACAAATAATTGACAATGAAGACGCCTTAGACATGCACTGACTGCATGTTTGCAGGTGCCGTGAAGGCCATTTAACACACCTGGCCTTCAAGGCCGAAAATAAATAATTCATTACATCAAATAACTCAAGATATCTGTTTACAGATATAATGATGAAAAAAGTCCGGATGAATGACAGCTCACATACCAGAAGAGAGGTATGCAAGGTAAGATGTATTCTTTTTGTGGTTCCGCTTGAAATCACCCTTTCTCCTCGGCATTCAACAAAAATATTTTCCCAGATTTTCCTACTGTTTCAATAATTTACCTGATTAAGATCCCTATGACAAAGCTTCCGGCAAAAACTCTTCCGTAGATTGAGCAATTCCCGCAGCATTAGGTTTCAAAGTTTCAAAAATTGATCTGAGTTTCCAAGAGTGCACTTTTGTTGAGAATTCCAAAATAAAGGTGATTCGATCAATATTTTAATTATTATAGATGGTAGATAATAAATACCTATAACTAATCTATCAAAAACCATTCTCTCAAATCTATGAGAGATCTCTCTCATTTATGGAAGTAATTTATCAACCCTCACGTCAGGAAGAACCAATGCCCAAAAATTTTTAGTGAATTATACTTCAGTGCTCAAAAAAAGATATGAGCTAGTTTTGAACAGTCTACGTTGACTGCTCAAACATATATGGTATTTGGTTCTTCGGACATGAAAATTAACCCCACTTATCACCAACTTCAAATCCTGCATCGATTGTCAGTCATTAAACACGAAGTCAACAAGCCAAAACATATATAGAAACTTACAATATTTGAAATTGTTTTGGATCTACAAACTCAGTCATCTTGAAGCTTAATTTTTGGTAGCGGCAACTCCGCATTTGTCTTGTAATTTAAAAATTGTAATGAAAAAACAATGCTGTTCGATATAAACCTAATGAAATTTACTAATCAAACTTTCGGCTAGTTGAAATTAGGACTCCTAGTTGAAATTTTCCCGTTCAGTCTATATTTCATTTATGCTCATTTCCTGGACTGCAACTTGAACCGCCTCCTGGATATAATCCATCTTCTTGAATTTGGACACAAACTCTTCAGCAACGACCTGACCTGTCATGGTTTCATTGTGCACGTCAAACGGCTTCAACGTCATCACAAGGTCGAGAAAGATATTTGCCAACTTATCCGACATCTCAACTTGTACTTTGTTATAGAACACCTTCGAGTCCCGCTGTTGGTAGTCTTCGGGGTCGAACCAAATTTCATCAATTGCGAAAACATCCTCGTTTTCTTGGAACTTGGCGACAAGCGGAAGGATCCACAGGTTCTCGATGAATACTTTGTTGGCATTGTTCAGGAGGATCCCACGTTGTCTTTCAGCCTGAGCCATAAAACGGTTTAACTTTTGTTCGAAAGAAGCGAAGACGTTTGTCAATTCTTGGTATTCACGGAGGAGCATTTCAATCTTCATGTCACTGCAGCTCATTGCTTTTGATAAAAAGTCAGATGAACACTTGGAGCACGCTGAGTAAGATGAGCACTGGAAAAATATACAAATAAAACTTTTTTGCCCTCTATGGATGAGAGGGGAATTTAAATGAAGCTTTCATAACACTAGCAAACACTAGCCAGAAGATGACAAAAAAGCAGCTTTATAAAGTACAATAAGAAAAAGTAGAAATAAACATCTTGAAGAAGCTGGACAAAAAATGCATACACATTTATTTTGAAATCAGATTATTTTTGTCTCTGCAATTACACATAATTACTTTGGCCCTTTAACTAAATCTTTGGTAACCCAGTAAAAAAAATTGTATAACGGATTAACTCGACTAGGAAAGAATCTCGTTTTGCTATAGTTTCCTAGTATTTGCAAACATATACACTTAAGAGAACTTCAAAGGCGTTCAGCCTGTTGAGTGACTACTTAATAGGGAAGGGGTTAAAGATACCCCTTTCGTTCCCCACTGGTTAATTTGCCGTTGTTCAACTCTTGACCAAACATAATAGCGTTCTTGGTTCATAACAGAACTAACTTTTTCTTCCAGTAGAAACCCGATGAAACTGGCATCATCACATTGGCTACTATCAACTACATCATCATCATCATACGTGGTTGTCGTTTGTCTTCGGCTGCGTCTGTTGTTGTTTCTGCAGTTGGAGTTGAAGAAGACGCTCTTGACGGAACAGTAGGCGGTGGAGGAGACATCTTTGGTCACTCCCCAAACTGTGCCAGTCACTTTCTTAGTCTTCTTCCAAGATCCATCCAACACATCCAACACCTGAGATAAAAAACACAAACAGTCCAATTAGTACAGGAAGTTCAAATTTTAGACAAGCCTCCAAAATATAAACCAGTTATGATAAAATCTACGTCTCCATAATATAGAAATCCTTTGTGAACGAATAGGGGAGCGTTTCAAACACAGATATAATTGCTTCAACTCTTCAAAACTTTTTCCTAACTCCTCAAAGCCGAGATTTCGGTTTCCTACTCCACGTTATGTAACCCCTCATTTTAGTTCAGGCCAGATAAGCAATTCCTAAATCAATTGATGCTTTCAGTCGCACAAAACTGTCTGAATTTCGATTGATTGGAAATAATCCCTCAATCACGCGTTTAAAACAGATAACCTTTGGGGCTAAAGCTTTCTTAATTTAAGCTTTGATGTTTACCAACGCTAAGGTTTCGAATCTTTTTCAAGTATGTTTAAATTTGATTCATATAGATATTTTAAAAACGGAGTTAATTGTACAGGAGTTAGTTGATATTTGGGCTGAGGGGGTAAAAAAATAGGGGGTTAAAAGACGCGGGGTTTTAGGTTGCGAACCGATATTTCAATCCAATTACTGTTTTAGGAAAAAAATGCCCCTTTTTCAGTATCCTGTTTTTTAAACTGTAAATAACATACCAGCTATGGCCTAAAATAACCTTATTTTAGGTTGATATTTTTGAACAAATAAAGAAAATGTGATAAAACCTTGTCGAAAGTCGATTTTCTTCCCTTCGGCTTGCTTTCATTCGGCACATCCACGAAATCCATCAAATCCTCCAAATCAATCATAGCTGCTCCTTTGCCCCCCATTCCCTTCAACAACTTGTCCACACTTTTCCTCACTTGTATTACCTCCTGGTCATTCATAACCATCACTTTTCGGTTACCCGGATTGCGAAAAGAAAGATCTTTGAAGATCTCCGCGATCTCTGCACCTGTCATGTTTAGTTTTTTCATCAGGTGGGCCTTGATTGGATTGTCTTTGGTGATGAGTTGTTTCATTTGAGCCAGACTTTGCACAACGAAAGGCTCAATTTTGTTCACTTTTTTGTGCACACTGTCGATGAAATCGTTGACGAGTTGAATGTCAGAATCAATTTTCAATTTCAGATCCTAAACAGAAATCAGATCCTAAGCAAAAACATATCCTAAGCAAAACTGATAAAATTTCAACTGAAAGTAATATGAAAATTTAATCCCTTATGTGACAATTATATAAAAATTCAACACAAAAATAATAGTAACTGAAGTTTTAACGATTCGCAGAGGATCTTCGAAAGGCTATCAGTCCTGTCTAAAGATATTCCGTTTGCATCAAAATCTAGTATATTTAAATCTGCACTTCCGTAAGCTTTTCCTATTAAGGATCAGATCAGGGGTCGAGCGTATAGTGTATACGACCAACTGACAACCCAAAGGCTTACAAACCCTAAAAATTTCAAAAGGCGTCAATACTTACAAACTTTCAAGCCCGGGTTGAACTCACACTAAAAATTAGCAATAAGAAAGTGAAACAGCGATCGCCATTGATGAACTTCCGATGTTCATTGCCACAAAAGCAAACTTAATTGACAGATTATTGCTAATTTGGCTTATTTTCAGCAATGAAACAGCGATAAAAAACCTATCAAAATGAGCAAAAATAGTGAACTACCAGGGTTCGATCCCGCAACCATGAGCTTTGTAGATATGAGTGTTACTTTTGCGCCACCAAGCCTTAAATATATTCAAGTTAGAGTGCTTATTAACTCACAGTCTCATTTGAAAGCTACTAAAATGAGTTAAAATTTCTTAAGTTCTCGCGTTGATTTTTTACGGAATCATTACTGAAATTGCTCTGAAATATCGCCGGTTTAGCTATGAAAAAAACTCAGAATTATACATGAATCAGCGCCTGAAAATAGCGATCACTGGGATACTGCAGAAAAACAAAAAGTGATAACTAACTGTGAGACTTCAAAACGGGAGGGTGCCCAATTAAACGACTGACCTAAAAAAAGACAAGTAACTGATTTTTTCTTGTAAAATCAGGTCCCCTCGATAAAACCCTAGATGGAAGCCTAAGTAAAACATCAGTCGTTGTTGTCATTCGAGGTCGAAGTATCCACGAAATTAACTTGACAACAAAATGTTTTTTTGTTCAAAAGCAGCTGTAATTTGGGTAAAAAATAAATTGCCCATTTTGGCGCCTATTAAGTACTTTTCTTTTAGATAAATAGTCGCGAGACGACTATTCGTAACGGGCAACGTTTCGTAACGGGCGACAATTCGTTATGGGTGACAATTCGTAACAGCAAATTAAGCAGAGAACACTGATTCAAACGCAGTATTCAACTCGTGCCTGATATAAGCGCAACAGAGCAAAGTGAAGACGAGCAAGCGTTTTTTTTTAATTACCAATGCCTTGTTACGAATTGTCGCTTGTTACGAAATGTCGTTTGTTGAGAATTGTCGCTAGCTACGAATTGTCGCTTGTTACGAATTGCCGCTTGCTACGAACTGTCGCTTGTTACGAATTGTTGCTAGCTACGAATTGTCGCTTGTTACGAACTGACGCTTATTACGAAGTGTCACTTGTTACGAACTGTCGTTTGTTAAGAGTTGTCGCTTGTTACGATTTGCCGCTTATTACGAATTGTGGCTTGTTACGAATTGTTGCTAGCTACAATTTCCCACTTGTTACGAATTGTCGCTGGTTACGAACTGCCGCTTATTACGAAGTGTCGCTTGTTACGAATTGTCGTTTGTTAAGATTTGTCGCTTGTTACGAATTGCCGCTCATTACGAATTGTGGCTTGTTACGAATTGTTGCTAGCTACGATTTCCCACTTGTTACGAATTGTCGCTGGTTACGAACTGCCGCTTATTACGAAGTGTCGCTTGTTACGAATTGTCGTTTGTTAAGAGTTGTCGCTTGTTACGAATTGCCGCTTATTACGAATTGTGGCTTGTTACGAACTGTTGTTAGCTACGATTTGTCGCTTGTTACGAAATGTCGCCAGCTACGAATTTTCACCCTATTATAATAGCTTTATAATCAACTATAGCCACACACCTGGAAATTTACAATTTTCGATGTAGACATTGACTTCGTAGCGACTTGGACTCTTGACTTCAGTTGTTCCATGCATACACCTGTCTCACTGCACTCTTCAGCACATTCCAAGCATGCATCTGCGCCAGACTTACTGCCCCAACAGTCTTCCATGGAAACCTCTGTTTGAGCAGCTCTCTCCTAGAAAAACTCAAAGCTATACCAAGCACAATGTATAACAGTTGGAAATAAAACAACGAAAAAGTTGACTTAACAACTCTATTAGCCTATGAAAATTTGTTTCGTTTTGATCAAACAACACCCCCCAGTTTGGCATTTTTTGTTTGTGGATCAATTTGGCGTCTAACTAGATTTTTTCGTTTTAGTGGACGTTCGAAAAATTCTAAAAGTTCGTTTGATGCTAATGGTTGTGTTTCTCGTCTGTTTATCTGAGTTTGAATTTTTCGTATTTCCAAAAAATTGTTGATTTCATAAAGTTTTTTTCCCACTTATTGATTTCTGTATGGACTTATTTGTGTTTCGGAAAATTTTAACGACCTGTTTTAGGACAACCAAATTGATTTTCCGAGCGTTCAGAGCAAACTATAACGACCCTATTTTGAAAAAATGTTCTGCTCAAATTTTAGAAAACGGGTCATAACTGCCGTTATTGCGCACTTTTTGGAAAATTGTGTTTTTTTTTGGCACGTGCTCCCCTTTAAAATAAGTATATAATGGCACCAACGGCGCCTTTAGAAAAACTTTAGGGTTAATTGTCAAAAATAGATGTCATAAAATTATACCAAAGGGGCGACCCGTTGGTTGGTACGGAGGACGAGGGTGGGGGGGGGGGGGGGGGGGCGTCCATCTTGCCCCCCAAATTCGCCTTTGACTACTATAAGTCAAACTAGAATATTCAACTCGCAATATAATTCGTTCTATTTAAGCGTACGCGGCAAATTAAATCCTTCAAATTGAACGCAAAATATCTCACTCGGTACTTTACATAGCTTGTGGGAGTGATAAAAATAAGCCGTCATTCATTTGCAAGACAAAAAGACTGCTGGTATCAGGGCGAGGCCTTGAATGTTCCTACTGTATTTTAAGGTCAATGGAGCAGTAATAACCTGAAAAGTTAAAGGTGAGAAAAAAACAACGCGAAAAATAAAATGTAAAAAAAAATAAATCAAATCAACCCTCACACGCCATATAAAGTACAAAGTGATAGATTTCGCTCCTAGCGCGTTAAATATATCGCGCGTTAATTGTCCCAAATTGGTCAAAATGGCAATCTTTAAACCCTCATAACTATACAAAAAAGGATCACAGGTGAAATATCTTTTCAAATTTAAGCTCAGGACAACAATACCTCTCGAATGATAAGAAATTCGGTCAAAAATGGCCAGTTAAAAAGTCGGAATTTGTCTGAAGAAAAAAAAACTCACCCGAGCACAAATATTTTGTTAATTTTGTTACAAAATTCGGAAAAATCATTTCAATGGTTGAGGACCAACTATCACTGGAATCCAATTGCAAATGCAGTCATTAACAAAAACCTTGTGGAAACCGAAGCCAAAAACGTTTGAGTTGATAATTCTAAACCGCAAAACCTCGCTGGATTAATTATATTCCGCATTTTGTTGCTGAATTCAGCAGATTTATATCCTTAACTGATCATTTGTCTTAGAATTTTGTGAATGTTCTTGCTTGATTGCTGAATTCTAGAAAAACAATTGAGAATTTGAATAAAATTGTGCATACTGAAGTAGAAAAAAAAAGGAACTGAGTAACAATTTCAGAATGCGCATATAGACTAAGAAAACTAGTCTGACTAAGCGTATGTCCTTAAATTCTTGCATTGAACGCCAAGGCTGACCTCCATGCACAAAAATGCTTTTAATACAATTCCTTGCAAGCACAAGGAAAGACGGAAGTTCTTCAAAATAGTGTCGTTTCTTGTGCGTGGTGTGATGAGAGAACCATATCAGAGCGTAGAAAATTAGCAAATTAGGCATCATCGACATCAGTTTTTGTTCAATGAAAAAATAACAAACAAATAAACGGAGGATAACTTTAAGCAAAAAATCAAAAATAATTCAAATGTTTTCTGATTTTTTGCACAAAACTTTTACAATGTTTTAGAAAACTTTTTAGAAGCTTCCGAAAAAGTTTCATTTAAAAAAAACAGTTTTTCAGTCTAAATGATCAATTTAACAAACGTTATAAGCACTTTACTCATTCGCTTTAATCGCTTGCAATTAGTCAAAAACTCAAAAATTTCAAATCTGTTTTTCTCGAAACTGGAACAACTTATAAAAAAAAGCTTAACAATAGCTCGAATCACGACTTAAATGACTTCAATATGATATATCATTCAACCTATTCCGATAATTATTGGTGGCACCTAATTTTGCGAGGAAAAAAATTATAACACCGAATACTAGTACCTCCCCATTTTCAATGGTCGAATAAAAAAACGCTTGTCACACAATTTCGTAAACAAAGTATGGAAAAAATTTACTTTAAAAATACCAAAACTCTTTCGTCTTTTTTTTTACTCGGAAAGTTTTCAATTTAGTCGCAAAACCCCTTTTACTCTCAAATCAAATTTTTTCAAAAAAAGTTTGAATCAAAAATTGTGCATTTTGTCTCTAGCGCAGCCCAGACCAAATTTTTCAAACGAATGAATCTTGATTTAAATTTTTATGTTTTTCAGAGTAAACATTGACCTCGTTTTAATTAACTCTAATGTCAGGCCACGATTTTGAACAACTAAATTTTTTGAACCTAAAGCTTTCTAGTCAATACAAAAAACAGTGGTTCTAATTTACATTTTTGAGAGAGCGTTTTCTTATCAGCGAACAACCTTGGTTATTGTGTTTGAGAAACTCAATATAAAAAAAATATTTTAAAAATGTATAACTGCTAGTCATGTAATTTTCATGTATGGGAACCTGTTTAAAATAGAGATTTAACATAACTTTCTCTATGTATGTAAATACATGGAATCACAAGACTAAAACTTTCCATATAAGGAAATCGTATGACTAGAAATTTTAGTCAGCCCTTGTGTATCAATCAAACAATACTGCTTGTATATCAGTAAAAGATCGTGAACATTCCGACTAGCCCTTAGCTGGTCTCGAATTGTTTTTTGATGGAATTTTGGTAAAATATAAAATTTGAACTACCACTGTCAAATATTTGAGTCGTAAAATATTAGACATATACATAATTAGGATAATTGAGAATGCGGTCGAACAGTAGACTACCTTTGTGTTGTACTCGTCAAAAAGTAGAGAAAACTAAAATTAAACAATCAGAAACAAACAGTACGCGAAAATGAAAAACATTTATTTACTTCGTTTTCGAACGGTTGCTTTCTTATCTCGATTCTGATCCGTTGCTATATTACTAGCAAGCCCCTTTGCTATGACATTGGAACACCTTTCATCAAAACATTAGGCTTACATTGAGATGCTGTAAAACTATCTACATCGATTAACAACGTTTTAGTTTCTTTTGCAGCTATTCGATTAAACTGTTTCAACAGAACTTCAATAGCGTCAACCTGTTCGCAAAAAAACGTCGATGTCAAAAAAAAAATCAGTTTACTAAAGTTGCTTTTGTCTATTTGTAGAAAAGCTGTTTTAAGTAAAAGTTGTTCGGGCAAAAATCTTTTTTGAAAGAATAACTAAGTGTAAATGAAGTCAAGAAAAACGTAAAACAATGACTGACTTAAATTAAATTTAACTTTGACTGACTTTATCAAAAACAATTCTAATGTATAACCTCTTCAATTTTTTATAATTTGCCCATTAATTTTTGACAGCTTCAATAAATTCTTAAAGCTACAAAACGGTTCTTCAATGGAAATTTGCAGTACGTTAGGTTGTTTTTGACAATTTCAGGAAATCACTCTGCATAAACTGTAAAAGTACTGTTTAAAGAAAATTCAAAAATAGCGAAGCTTGACTTGCTTCGCTATTTTTTTTTATCAAGCCTTCTTCGCAAACGATGAAAATTTAAATTCGAAAAAATTCGCGCTGGTTTCATAGCTTGAGTTGATTCACGAAAAAATGAAAGCTTATTTCAAGTTATTTTAATAGGTATCTATGGTTGTTTGAGCTTTCTGATATGATGCATTGCTTCACTAAATTGTTTTGGTTTTCAAGCATTTGTGCAAGCAATATAATTTGAAACAAACTCGGGTTGATTTCATATGTTGCAGTGTTTCGCAAAAAATGAAAGATCATTATTACAAATAATCACAAGTAATTATTAAGTAATAAAAAGCTTTGATAGTTTGGGTTACATTGCGATACTTGATTTTTCAAAAAAGCTTTTGCAAGCAATGAAAATTTTTCAGGCAAGCTATTTCAGCAACTTAACTAGGGAAAATTTATTTTATTGTTAGCTTGGAATATATCAAATTGTCATTTTATAGCGCGAATCGGTTCGCAAAAAAATCCTTTTTCAAGCAAACTCATCGAGCAATAGATCCTTGATAGAAGATATTTCCTTGATATTTCAATCAGTTCATAGCATGAATCGGTTTGAAAAAAAACTATTAAGCAAGCTCATCAAGCGATGAAACTTTGAACTATGGCATTCATTTCATAACACAAATCCGTTAGCAAAAATTGAAATATTTTTCAGCAAACTCATCAAGCGACAAAGGTTTGAAACATAAAAGTTATTTCATTATTTCATAGCATGAAATGATTCACAAAATATTCAAACTTTAAAGCCAAAACACTCAAATCTAAGCTCAATTTCCATATCGATTGAATAATTGGTGCTCAGTTTCCATATCTAATTTGTACGGATTGTACAAAAAAATGCGGAGCTCTCAGGCTACCTTTTGTCTAACTCGAAAATAAAGTTTACAAATTTTTCAGAAAAAAAAGAGACTGCCAGGTAGTGTCTGCCCTTAAAGTTAAATTGAGTTGGTCTTGTCTGAATCTTTGACTAAAAAAAAATTTCAAGAATATACCGATTGATATTGTTCAGCGCTCTGGAAAATTCATTTGATAAACAGAGTTTTTCTGCTTCATTACGTGTCTACTTTATGAGCTGCCTACTTTTTGCTATGTAACCGCAGAAAAAGTATGACTAAATTAGTTTTTTTCAATTGAATTTGGATTATTCATGTGTGAAGGATAATTTGAAACGACTAGATAATTATCGTGATGAAATAATTTCAAATTAAACGCAAGTTAGCATTGCAAGCAAATATATGAAAAAATTCTATAAAATAAAAAAATTCAATTTCATCTTGAAACAGAGGCAAAGCGGAGCTTCGCATCACTTGCGATACCACAAAAATAGCGTTGCAAGCTAGCAGGCAGGAAAGGAAGCAACTAAATCCAATGAAAACGGGAAAATTCTTGAAACCGAACTACAAAAATCTTCAAATTTTGGTCTGGATTGATGTTCTTTTTGCGGAAAACACGTCCAGAAAAACAGTCGACGGTGCTTAAAGAAAATTCAAAGTAATTTTTGAGCAAAAAAATCTGATAAAACTTGAACTATAAATTCTATTCTAAGATTTTTAACGTATAGTGCGATCCCGTGGAAAGCATACAAAATATGATTCCGTTGAACGACCAAAATTTAGGTTAGTAAGCCGATAAAATATAAGCCGAATCCATTTAGGTTGAAAAATGTTTTGAGCAAAAATTTTTTCAAAAACTACGAAATTAAGGTAAGTAGAATTACAAATTGCAGGAGTAAATGAAACCCAAAAAAATCAACTTCAATGAAAACTGCATACAGCAAAAAAAATGTCGCAACTAAGCCGAAAAAACATAAGTAGACAAATAAAAAGCCGACAATTTTTTCAAACGGAAAATTTTGCGTTCGAAAAAAAAACAGGTTCTGTTCAGATTCGAACCAAGGATCTTTGCCATCCCACATTTATTCGTTATCTACAGAATAAGTGTACCAAAAAGGCTTGGAAATTTGAATTCACTGTGGACCAAGATACCAAGTGATTCTGTTAAACAAGTTGTTAACACGAAAAAAAGTTTATAGCCCGATTTGATAACGCTGGCTAATCGCAGCGCATTTAATTTTTAGTATTTACAGTGTGTCCAATAAGCCGATAAAACGTGCGTAGACGTCCATTGAGCCAAAAAAATGCCGTAAAAATTATTGTCATGAAAAATAGAGTGATTATGTTTTAGACTTTTTAAGCCGCAAACGACCTGAATTATAATGATAATTCAACTTTTATCAACTTCAATCAACTTTTATCAACTTTTATCAACAGCCGCAAACGACCTGAATTATAATGATAATTCAAAAATCAACTTCAATGAAAACTGCATACAGCAAAAAAAAATGTCGCAACTAAGCCGACAAAACATAAGTAGACAAATAAAAAGCCGACAATTTTTTTCAAACCGAAAATTTCGCGTTCGAAAAAAAACAGGTTCTGTTCAGATTCGAACCAAGGATCTTTGCCATCCCACATTTATTCGTTATCTACAGAATAAGTGTACCGAAAAGGCTTGGAAATTTGAATTCACTGTGGACCAAGATACCAAGTGATTCTGTTAAACAAGTTGTTAACACGAAAAAAAGTTTATAGCCCGATTTGATAACGCTGGCTAATCGCAGCGCATTTAATTTTTAGTATTTACAGTGTGTCCAATAAGCCGATAAAACGTGCGTAGACGTCCATTGAGCCAAAAAAATGCCGTAAAAATTATTGTCATTAAAAATAGAGTGATTATGTTTTAGACTTTTTAAGCCGCAAACGACCTGAATTATAATGATAATTCAACTTTTATCAACTTCAATCAACTTTTATCAACTTTTATCAACAGCCGCAAACGACCTGAATTATAATGATAATTCAAAAATCAACTTCAATGAAAACTGCATACAGCAAAAAAAAATGTCGCAACTAAGCCGACAAAACATAAGTAGACAAATAAAAAGCCGACAATTTTTTTCAAACCGAAAATTTCGCGTTCGAAAAAAAACAGGTTCTGTTCAGATTCGAACCAAGGATCTTTGCCATCCCACATTTATTCGTTATCTACAGAATAAGTGTACCGAAAAGGCTTGGAAATTTGAATTCACTGTGGACCAAGATACCAAGTGATTCTGTTAAACAAGTTGTTAACACGAAAAAAAGTTTATAGCCCGATTTGATAACGCTGGCTAATCGCAGCGCATTTAATTTTTAGTATTTACAGTGTGTCCAATAAGCCAATAAAACGTGCGTAGACGTCCATTGCGCCAAAAAATGCCGTAAAAATTATTGTCATAAAAAATAGAGTGATTATGTTTTAGACTTTTTAAGCCGCAAACGACCTGAATTATAATGATAATTCAACTTTTACCGGAAAAAAAGTTTTTGAAATTCATACATACTGAAAAAAGAAGGTTCGGCCAGGACACTGACCCAAAAACCTAAGATGCAAAGACAAGTGCGTTACCTCTGCACCAGGTGAGACGGAGCCTGAAGTTGTTAAGGTTCAATAATAAAGCAAGGTAAATTTCTTTGATTTGTGAGAATTTTTTACTGGAAAAAAAAACTATATTTCCCGATTACAAGACACTTGCTCTTGCTCATGTAATAATACTTACAATCAGGTCCTCATATTCTCCTTTGTAACTCGTGAATTCGGTCTGAATTTCGCTCAAAGCCGTCGAAACATTCACTAGTTGCAGGATGTGATCGAGACTATTTGATGAAATCTCAAGCAAATTGTAGCGGAACAGTCTGTTGATTGTTTGCATGCGATCGCCGCTTTTCTCCGGGTACTTCGTTTGACCAGATGAAACCTGGCTCACCGATATTATGAACAACAGAAGCACAGGAAACGTTTTTGTTTCCATTCGAGCCATTTTTAAAATTTTGAACGTTAAACTGTCCGATTAATTTTTCCCCTTCAGTGTTAAATTAATATTAAGTTAAGATGAATAACAACGGGTTGGCTGAAGAATGTTGAGTTTTGAGCAGAATTGAGATAATAATTTGTGGCAATCTTATTTGTCAGCAAACAACTTTCGCAGTCTTATCAGTTTTGAATCATGTGCCCATGGCGTCAGTTCGACACGTGTCATCTGCCAATAAATAATCACTCTTTGGATTTGGTGAGAGGGTTGCAGGGTAAAAGAATGATTACCTACAATGATGACAAATTCCAATTCTGTGATGATGTTCGAAAACATCAATAATCTTATAGCTCTCAAAAGTTTTCACATGGACTTTTAAAAATTATTCTAAGCTCAGATTGATAGTATTTTTTAAACACATATGCTCATACGATAAGACACAACTCAAGAAGTAGTAGTTTTTGATGGCACAACTATTTATGCCATGCAAACAATTATTCTCACCAGGCAACAAAATTTAGTGGCAAACAAGACGGCTCGTATATCAGAGTGAGGCCTTGAATGTTCCAATTGCACTTCAAGTTTTTTGGTAAACAAAACAAAGGAAAAAAATGTTCCAATTTTTTTCGTCATTTTATTCCCCACATGCTATGTAAAATGCAAACGTTGTACTAAGCTTCTCATGTCGATTGGCGTACTAATCTTCTCAATGGTGACAACGCAAACGAAATATTACCAAATTCAAATTAGACTCGTTTTTAGGATTAACATAGTGCCAGCATGTGTTTAAATTAAGATTATTAAAGAATTGAATTAGAAGAGCTCAAAAAACATGCTTTTTGCATTCGTTTTCTTATTTGGTAACTCATAAAATAGTCAAAAAACTTTTTTTTTGTCGGGGAACTTGAAATAAAGGCCAAACAACAAGTGGAAACCAAGTTCAATTTAGTATTTGAAGAAATATGCAGCGTGGTAACCAAATTGGATATATCAAAAAACGATCGCAAAAAACTAGACAAGCTCACGGCTTAAATCCGACAAAAATACATTAAATCTAGCACAAGCCACAAATGCAGTTGAAGGAAGGCATGTAGGTGTAACCGCTGTTTCAAGGAAGCCACCTTTCAATTTATGCGTTTCTTAAAAAACTTCAACTGGGTTCCTATAATCAAAAACTCATCATCTTGAAGGCCTCCAGCGTTACTATCAACTTATCTCGGAAAAACTACTATGATTCGAATGAAAAATATCGACAGATAACTATTTTATACGAAGACTAACAATTATCTGAAATCCGTTCACTTGCTCATTGATTTTATTGAAGTTTCTTTTAGTTTCTGTCTATTTTGTCTCAATATTAAATTTGATTGATCAAATTTTTCTATAGACGTCTCTTTCCACTCTCTCGGAGGACGCCGAAACCGAACATTCTGACTCACGTTCCAAAACGCTGTCACTGGCTGTTTAATCTCAGAGTAATTGCCCTCATTTAAGGACGCTAGATTGAGGGCAGGCGCCTGTCGGCGATTTGTGTATTGCATCTAGCGAAAAAAAATTGAGAAATGAGAAAAGATGGTTTTTACAGAAACGAAGCAAAGCTTAGCACCAGTTGCGATAGAAAAACAAACATTAAAAAACATAAGAAGAAAAAGTTTTAAATATTGAAAAAACCTAGTTGAAACAAAGTTTTTCTATTTCTCGATAAAAAACAACTAGGGGCCCAGCAAAAGCTGGAGGTACAGGTTTGATATTGAATGATTTTGCTATACTGATGCGGCACGAAAAATTTGATTTCGAAAGTTGAATTTTCCACAAAATCTAAATTGTTTATCTGCTAAATTAAAAGAGAAGAGTTAAAAATTATGAGGCAATCAATTTTCCCAAGAAGATAATATTTCTCTAACAAAAAATTAAAGAAGAGAAGATCAGCAAGAAGATTTACCGCAAAAGATTCCCTCAACTGAACTGAAAAACGCTCATAAGTTCTAAAAAGCGGCCAAGACTTTCCTAAATCCATAATTTTTTTTCTGCAAAAAGCAGGTCGTTGCCTCTAAAGAAGAGAAGTTCCCAAAATCGTGTTTCTCGACCAAGCAACTCACCTGAGATTTGGCAAAGCAATTCTTGAGTAAAGTAAAAAAAACTCCCAAAAAAACGGTCTAACGTTCAGAACTTTAACATGTTTGAAGCCCATAGTTTTTTTTTCAAAAAACGGGCGTATCAAATTATGAACCTGAGCTTCCAACAACCTGTTGTGTCGATTGATAATAGATTTTGCAGGATAGTTAACAAGAAAAGTCCAAAAAACGGCCAAAAAATCAAAAAGTTGACAATTCTGAGCATCATAAATTTTTTGTGAAAAAACTTTGATTCTCAAATGCAGAAGGGATTGAAGCAACCTGTAGTTTCGATTGAACCCAAAGCCTCAAATTTGAGAGGTTGGTTTTACTCGAGAGAACTTTTTAAAAAACGGTCGAAAAATCAATGTTTTGACTTTCAACGGCCATAATTTTTAGTGTCGGAAAAATTTGGGCGTAGTAGCATAAGCAAATGAGCTTCCCACAAACCGATCTTTGAATTGAACACTTCTAAGATATGTCAGGGTAGTTTTCAAGATTATTCAGAAAATTTTAAAAAACGGTCGATAAATCAAAAATTGACTTTTTCGAGGGCGAGAAGTTTTTGTGTAAAACTTTGTGAATAGCTGCTCATGCAGGGGGGCTTCCACTACCCGTTATCTCCATCCAATTCACAATATCAGATTTGAGAGGTTAGTTTTCGAGAGAAGTCAAAAAGTTTCATAAAACTGTCATATAAAATTTGATTCTTCCGAGGGCCATAACCTTGTGCTGAAACTTTTGGGCGTAGCCAATAATGCAGTATCTTCAAAACATTCATTTCAATTGAAATCCAAAACTCAAGATTTGAGAGAGGTAGTTTTCGAGAAAAAGAAAAAAATCAAAAATATGGGTCAAATATTCCCCCACAGACTTTTTCGAAGTTGTAGACAGAGAAGTCAAGTAAAGAGAGACCCTAGGGGAGCATACAGGCCCACAAGGGAGTAGGCGGTCTTTCATTTTTTTGAAGAAAAAATTTTTTTTGAGAACAACTAAAAAAATTCTAATAAAATTGGAAATAACTTTCCATAACGAAAAAAAATCCAACAAACCGATTGATAAACTTACAACCAAATTGAAAAACGCGGAGTGGAGTTTAAAATGTCTTTAAACTCAAAATTAGGTCATTAAGACGATAAAAAAATGCCAAAATGTTTTTTTTAGCGAAACAAATGTAACAAGGAAAAACGAAAAGAAGGTAAGTAAAATTACAAATTGTAGGAATAAATCAAACACTTAAAGCAACATTGATTCAGGAAGCTGCGCGCAGAAAAAAAACGATTTCAAGATGTGACAACTAAGCCGACGACAGATAAGCAGGCCAATAATTGGTTGCAATTATATTTGAAACAGAATATTTTCCCTTTGAAAAAAAAAACAGATCTTGATCAGGTTTGAAACTAAGACCTTTGCCCAGGCATATTCATTGCCCCCAGACTAAGTTGCCGGGAACGCATAAAAGTTTGAATTCTTCAGGAGCCAAAATACAAGTGATTCAACAGATTCTATTAAACAAGTTGTTAAGTTTTTACTTTTCAAATCAGCATATCACAAAGAGGCCAAAGCGTTTTGAATCAGCATATCACAAAGAGGCGTTTTGCAATCTGGACTAGTTTACTCTGTGCGCTCGCATATGATTTTATTGTACAATTGTATTGAACGAGTTCCTTATGTTGCCTTCATTTTCGAAAGCTACCGAGAGTAACATTTTCAGAGCTACTGCCAGCTCTTGACTTTCTTTTTACACCCTTTTTCCAGGCTAAATTCTGCAATTTTTTGCAATAAATGTAATAAGCACCCGGAAAACTTAATTCGGGAATTCCTTATTTCATACAAATTTCGTCCCGAAGAAAATAATTAACTCGTGACCAGGTTGTTTATTGTCGAGTCCAATATATTCTGAAGTTTTTCGGAAACGGTTTTTGGGGTATTCCGATTCAAGCTGCTTCAGTGCCCGAATATTCATTCTAATTCATTTGTGCTTTAACTCATGACCTGAAACTACTTAAAATTATTTATTTCGAGAGATAATATAAAATTGAAGGAAGCTTTAGAGATGACTGAACTTATACAATAGTTGAAGTAGTTACACTGAGGAAAACAAGACAATGATTTATGGGCTATTGCACTAATCGTTGAAATGGGTAAAATTCAACTATTAGTGCAATAGGACAATTATTTTCTCGTTTTCCTCAATGTAACTACTTAAACTATTGTATACGCTTAGTCATGTCTAAAGCTTCCTTCTATTTTGTATTATCTCTCGAAAAGAAAATTTTTTAGGTAGTTTCATGGCCTTGACACTAATCTCTAGCGCCAAATACAGCACGAATGAATTAGAAATTTTTTTAGTTTGATATCTCAACGCATTTAAACCCGCTCAAGAAAGAAATTTATTTCAAAGGGCCAATAATTTATCGGATTCGACTATAAACAAGCTGGCCAAAAATTGATTATTTTCTTCGGGGACACATTTGTATGAAATAAGTATTCCCGAATTAATATTTTCCGGGTGCGTGTGATATGGTAGATATCACATTTCGTTTTAATACAAATAATGAATTATAACGAATTGTGAACTCTACTTTAAGATGCGTAATAGGTGGCTGATGCTTCTGTTTAACTAATGTTTATTGCCTGAACTACTGTTTAGAAGGGATAAACTGTACAATCTCCCCAAACCCCCCCTTTAAGTGACCTACCGTAGATTGTCCTCCCAAAGAATGTATTAATTAGGTACGCATAAGATATTCTGCAGGCCTGCTGAATATACTGCAGGAGAATTTTCTTACATACCGAATAGCTATTTTATCGTGCTAATAGCGTAGAAAAACTAAAAATATAAACCATCATAATTTGGTATCGATTGATTGGTTTGACTAATTACATCAATTTATTTTGCCCTCGAAGTCAATTTCTGAAAAACCGGTATTTTATTCCCGCTAAATCGATTTGGGGGGATTGAACGGTTGATCATTAAGACTAAGCAACTGAAACGACTGGGCAGACTAATTAAAGTATATCTCACTTCATACCTACAACAGCATATATATTGTCTAGTTGATT